AGAGAACAGCAATAAAGAAACTTGCTTGAATATGAAATCAGGTCAAGAGTAAAGAGAAATATCTATAGAGTTTATAACCACAAGCCAGCTTTCATGTAATGAGTCATCTGAAGTATGTGAGTCCTCCATGAGTGTAGTGGGTCATCAGTGCATCACGCGTCCTTAGAAAGATACGTAGAACATCTTGGATCCACCATCCTTAAGACTTGTTCTCTCATATTCTGTCATCTGAAGATAACTGCCATAATTCCACATATCACTGCCTTATACAAGAGAGAAAGAGGCACATATATACTTGTATGTGTATCTATGTATGTATGCATGCATACACACACACACACACACACACACACACACACACAAATGTAAGCAGTAAACCCTTTCCTAGAAGCCCTCAAGAAGATTTTCCCTTAGCTAAATATAAATTATATGCCCTCAGTTATACAAGTTACAATCAAAGGAGAATAGAATCACTATGATTGTCTACTACTCAAAATTCATCCTTTGTGCTATGACCCTCCTCTTATGATGCATTGTTCCACAATACCTGAAAAAAATAGAGTTCTTTCAGCAAATGCTTCTTAAAATGTGGTCTGTTGAAAACAATCATCAGCATCATATGGAAAATTGTTAGAAAAGCAAATTCTCAAAGCACAACCTGTACTTACACCATCAGAAACTCTAAAGACGGGACTCTGCAAATTTAGTTCTAATTAGATTTCTAAGTGATACTTATGCATGCTAAAATGTGGGAACCACTATTTTACTATGTCAAAGCAAATAGTGAGCTTTATTTAGGCAAACAATAATTTATACAGTACCTGGATGTTTTCTAATTAAACATGGTATCTTTCTTCAGAGACTATAATAAAATGAAAATGAAGACAGTTAAAACAAAATAAAGAACCCAAAAGCAGTAAATGCCACAAAGACTATGAAAAGATGAGAATTTACTGTAATGAGTGAGATTGCAACAAATTTGAGAAAATGGGAGGAAGAGGCAAAAGTGGAAACTGATTTTGCAAGACTCAGAAAATCATAACCTAAAGTGTGTAAAAAGGAACATAAGATTCAGGAGATCCACTTTAACACCACAGAAATCCAAAGAGGTTGAGGACTTAGTGATGTCAAATAAAAAAACAAATTTATGAATTAGAAAGTAAATAGAGGATGCTTGAAGGTCTAGTCACAAGCCAATTCACCCAGCCTAACTTCCTACTTCCACGAAGACAATGTGGTACCACCCTAAGCAAAGGATAGGAGAATTCTTCTGTGTAAAATTGACAGAAAAGTTTTGGGTCAAAAATACACTATTCATCAGGGAAGGAGAGGTTGAAAAATATAGAAAATGAAAGCTACTGGAATTTTACAGCCTCCTGCCCTTCTGCAGCAGCAGTTCATCAGTAAACCCAAAGCAAATGCTTACCCTGTGGCAGGCACCACCCTAAACCTTCTATGTATTTTAACTTCCTGAAGCTTCAAAAAATGTTATGAGGTAGATACTATTACTACCCTCATTGATAGATTTCGTAAAGAGGCACGGAGGCTGTCAGGTAACTTTCATTAGGTCACAGGGATGGTAAATTGAAGAGAAAGAGATCAAACCTAGGTGGTTTTGTTTTCCTTCTACCTTTTTCCATCATGTTTTCTCAATTTGTTTTCCACCTTCCTGTTCTCTCCTCTCACTTCTCTTAGTAAATCTTCAAACATGGGTTTCAGATAATGGGAATAAAACTAGGGAGTGAAAAGGACAAGATTTCACTTCTTTTCTGCATTTGCCGCTTTATTGTTTGAAAAATCACATTACTTTTGCAAGTAACAAATGTTAAAGGAAATTTTTATTACTTCAGTTCAATAAATATTTATTTATTACATGTCTCTGTGCCACCTGCAGGGCTGGAAAATTAAACATTCTAAGCAAATCTGGTTGGTTTGATTTCCAAAACATATTTAAAATATCATTTGATATAGTCTCGGTTATTTGTTTTTGTTTTTGTAGCCTGAGCTTTTGGTGTGATAGTCAAGAAATCTTTGCCAAGGTAAATGTCAAGGAGCTTTTCTCTTATATTTTCTTCCAGGAGTTTAATGGTTTGAGGTCTTACATATAGGTCTTTTATTCGTTTTGTTTTTGATTTGTTTGTGTGGTGTAAGAAAACAGTCCAATTTCATTGTTTTGTATGTGAAAATCCAGTCTTCCCAGCACCATTTATTCAAGAGACTATCCTTTCCTCATCGTGTTCTCTTGGGGCCCTTGTGAAAAATTCGTTGACCGTGTATGTTTGGATTTATTTCTGAGCTATTTTGTTCCATTGGTTTACCTGTCTGTTTTAATGTTAGTGCCATTCTGTTTTATATAAATTTGTAATATAATTTTTAATTAGGAAGTGTTATTTCTCTGACTTCAATTTTTTTTTCTCAGAATTGCTTTGGCTATTTGAGGTCCTTTGTGGTTTCATACAAATCTGCATTGAATCTATATATTACTTTGGGTAGCATGAAAATTTTAACAATATTATTTCTACATCAAACCAAAAATTTCTGCACGGCAAAGGAAACAATCAACAAAATGAAATGGCAACCTATAGTTTGGAAAAAAGTATATCTGCATACCATGTTATCAGAGAAGGGTTTAGTTTCCGAGATTTATAAAGAACTTATACAACTCAATAGCAAGAAGACATAGCCCAATTTAAAAATGGGAAATGGACCTGAATAGACACTTCTTCAAAAATGACATAAAAATAGCCAACAGGTATATGAAAATGTGCCCAACATCACTATTCATCAGAAAAATGCAAATCAAAATCACTATGAGATACTATGTCATACCTATTAGGATTGTTATTATCAAAAAGACAAGAGATAACAAGTGTCGGCAAGGGTGTAGAGAAAAGAGAATCCTTGTACACTGTTGGTGGGAATGTAGGCTGGTACAGCCATTATGGAAAACAGTATGGAGGTTCCTACAGAAATTAAAAATAGAACTACCATATGACCCAGAAATCCCTCTTCTGGGTATATACCAAAAGAAAATGAAATCACCATCTCCTGAAGACAGCTGCACTCCCATGTTCATTGTAGCATTATTCAGAATAGTCAAGATAATAGAAATAATCTAGGTGTCCACCAATGGACAAATGTATAAAGAAAGATACATATATTCCATTGTGTGTGTATACACACACACAGACACACACACGATGGAATATTACTCAGCCTTATAAAAGAAGGAAATTCTGCCAGGTGCTATCACAAGGATGTACCTGGAAGGCATTATGCTAAATGAAATAAACTAGACACAGAAAGAAAAATTTTGCACAATCTCATTTACATGAAATTAAGAAAAGGTCAAATATATACAGCAGTGGTTTATAGCAGGGGTCCGCAAGCCCCAGGCCACAGACCTGCACATGTGAGGGATATAGGTGCATATTCCTTATGAGAATCTAATGCCTGGTTATCTTAGGTGGAGCTCAGACAGTGATGCTAGTACTGGGCAGCAGCTGCAAATACAGATTAACATTAGCAGAGAGTTTTGACTGCACAGAGACCATAATAAATACATTGATTGCAGACTCATATCAAAACCCTATCAGTGAGGGGCAAGTGAGAAGTGACAATTAAGCTGTGTCTGGAGGCAGGCTTTATAGTGGAAAATTGATGTACTTCAATTGTACAGCTGCATCTGGTGGCAGGCTTTCAGTCAGAATCCAACACTTATTTTAGTCTGTGCATGGCTCACCCATTATTTTACCACTTCCATCCGCACCTCTTTCCCACACTGTGCACTTGTCTTAGTCACAGTTTTGCTAAGCCCACAAGCTAAGCCTAGTCTAGCCAAAGTGAGTGAAAAACAAACATTACTGGACAGCTTCTTTGAAAATGGGGAAAAACCCAATGATGAGACAACAGAAGACTCTAAAACTGCTAACAAAAAGAAAGCCACATTTAAAGGAAAATGCCAAGAGTCCTACTTAAATTACAGGTTCACTGCCACAGGTGGTTCACATTCTCCAACCCTGCTTTGTATAATATGTGATGATCGACTATCCAATGAAGCCTCGAAACCTGCAAAACTGCTTTGCCACATGGAGACCAAGCACCCTGCGTTAAAAGACAAGCCTTTGGAGTTTTTGTTTTGTTTTGTTAAAAAAAAAAAAAAAAACAGAAACCATGAAAACATGAACACAAAGAACACATAGAAGCAATTATTGAAGGCCACCATGTCATCAAATGTGTCTGCACTGACAGCATCATTATATATTACAATGTAACAATAATAGAAATAAAGTGCACAATACATACAATATGCTTGAATCATCCTGAAACCGTCTGCCACCCGACCCTGGTCCATGGAAAAATCCTCTTCCGTGAAACTGGTCCCCGGTGCCAAAAAGGTTGGGGACCACCGGTTTATCCAGGGTCATCCAGGTTGGAGTAGGGTCAGGAGATATGGGGAAATTTAGGTCAAAGAATTCAAAGTTACAAACATGTAGGACGAACAAATGGGAAGACCTAATGTACAACATGAGGGCTATAGTTAATGATCGTGGTATTCAGGATTTATGCTAAATGAGTAAATTAGAGCTGCTCTTGCCCCAAGGGGGGAAATGTGTAATTATAGGAGTTAATGGATATGTCATACACATAACTTAAATACAGACAATAAAAACTATTTTAGTTTAAAAAGGAACAATATTTATTAAAAAATAAGGTGAGCTCTTAAAAACATTTAAATAACTGCCTAAAAAAACAAAATAAAAAATAATATCACATAATTTAATAGAAGGAAAGAAAGAGCAAGAAAGCAAGAAAGAAAAGGCACCATAAAAAAAAAACAATTTTGACCACTCCTCATTTGTAGTCTAAGCTGCCTCTGCTTCCTCGCCTTGAAAAGCCACGGGCTTCCGAGGGATGGAGGTCAAAGTCAGAGTAAAGAAAGTTCCCGGGGGAGGTCACTCCCCAGCTGATGACTTTCCAGTTCCAGTTAGTGACAGAGTCCCAGTTCCTCTCCTTAACCACCGGTCAAAAGTCTCTGGAGTCTCTCCAATGAGCAAGAAAGCAAGTCGGGGGTAGGGGAGGGGCCTCACACCTGGTGGTGGGTGCAGTCCCTCCTCCAGCTTCTTCATCCTGCAATAGTCCCGCGGGTCCCCCGGCGCCAACGCGGGAACCAGGAAAAGGAAACCGCGTTGTGTACGTAAGATCCAGGAAACGAAACCAGTGGCCGCGGCTGTTGGCGCAAGGGTTACTCGCAGACCTTGTTCCGGCTGATTCCGAGAAGGTTGCGCAGCAGCTGTGCCTTGCAGTCTAGAGGCGCAGGAGAGGAAGCCACCGCCTGACCCCGGCTCTCTAGACCTCGGCTCTCTCGGGAGCGGAAACAGCGGCAGCCACAGGTGCGCGAGCGGCTTTCTCTGCCGCCTCCCCGGGGCTC